GGTGGTGGTCAGACATGGAGATGGTAGGGAGACAAATATACATGTGAAATAAACTCAGTATTTTAATAAAGTAAAAAAAAAAAAAAAAGATTCAGCACGTCGCTACTGAGCAGTCACTGTGTGCATGGTATTGTGGGATTATTCACTGATCACTGATGGAGACAGGAGACTGAATTCAATTCTCTCCCTGTCCCATCCTCATGCTCTCTACCATGCAACTCTGCTGTCCTCACACCCTTGACCCTGAATTGAGCTTGTGATTTGGTTTCATCCACACAAGTAAAAATGAAGAAACACCTGTTTGGAGCCTGGACATTGCAAGGAGTTGCATGATCCACTCCTGCTCTTGGGGCCACCAGCTCCATGAGAACAAATCGAGTTTTCCCACTGAGAGGCCAAACTCTGTGGTCCACCTGCTTCAGCTGATAACTAGAAGCAGAGGTTGCTGGCTGCCTGGTAACTGACCCCAGATGCATTGGGGAGTCCATCTGAGACCAGAAGAGCTTCCCGATTAACCCCAGGTTAAAATAATGAACTAAATAAGTAGTTGTTGTTTTAAGCTGCTTCTAAGTCTTGGGGTGTTTTATTATGCACAAACCTGGTTGTATATTTCTCTTTTTTTAAAAAATTTTATTTATGTGTGTGGCCAGCTCAGCCCAGCAGGGGGCGGGGCGGGCTGGCATGTGGTGCTGGGGGATTGAACCGCAGGCCCTGTGCTTTGCTAAGCTTGTTCTAAGTAGGTGCTTTAGACCACTGAGCCATCTCACCAGCCCCTGGTTGTATATTTCTAACTGGTGGTCAACTTATTACACCCAGCTGAATTAAACTAGCATGGTGTTGGGTACAAGAGGCCCACCTGAGGATTGTTGCCAGCAGCATAAAAGGCAGAGCAGGAAAAGCTGCCGGAACACCGTTAGGGATGCTGTTTGGAGAAGCTGCTAGAGCTGTTGGAAGCTGCTAGTTCTCTTGGGCTGTTCTGCTGGAGGACCTTCTCATGTTGGCTTTCCTGGTCCTCATCTTGAGCATCGCTTCCTGGCTCTGAAGGAGAAGGTGCTGCACTGCTCAGCCTCGTGGAGAAGCTTGTCATGTTGGCTTTCCTGGTGGGAACTCAGCTTTCCTCATCACTGGAGGACCTTGGGACCTCACTGTTGCCGAGGATGACGGTGTACTTTCGCGGGGAGCTCTGGTGCTTACCCTGAGCCTTGCTTCCTGGCTCCAGCTCAGATCCCTCAGCCTGCCGGCACAGATCCTGCATCCCGCTGGCACAGACTTTCTAGCTTCTACCACTGACCTTTGGGCCTGTTCAGCACACATCCATGAAGCAGGCCTGCATGAGACTTTATTGTGTGTTCTAGGCCTCTAGTTGGACTTGTGGGAGGCATTGTTATATGCTCTAGATTTTCATCTGGACTCATGCAGGATATCAGGATCTAGGCCCTCAGCTGGATTCTTTAGTGTGTGGATAGGTTTCCTGCACTTTTTTTTTTTTTTTTTTTTGCGGAAACGAGGATTGAACTCAGGCCCTTGCGCTTGCCAGGGAAGCGCTTATTCCACCGAGCCATCTCCCTGGCCCCTCCTGCACTTTGTTGTATATAATTCTTTGGATGATTCTTTATAAAATACTATTATAAAATGTGTCCTGTATTATATTGTTTTCCTTGGAAAAACCAACAAAAAACCCCCAAACTACAATACTATTTGACATCAGCACTTACAGTTCATCAAGCTCTGGTGTGTGGAATGATGGCAAAGGCTTGGGCAGAGATGGTGCAGTCCTGAGTACAGAGCAGTAAGTGTTCTGACAGGCAGGCACTGAAGGCATAGTAGTCGTGACCCTTTAGCTGGTGAGGAGTTGGAAGGATGAGCTTCCTGGGATGGGGGCTGGGTGTGGGAAAGCACGAATGTGGGAAACCCAGGCTGGGGCCATTGGTCAGCAGCCAACAGCATTTGCTGAGCTCTTAGGATGTGCACAGAAGTCCTGTATGGCTCAGCAGGAGAGAAAATACATCTGTACGCAGAAGCTGGCCACAAATGTAAGGTTATTTGTTTTGCATTGCTGGGGATTGCAAATCCAGGGCTTTGTGTATGCTAGGCAAGAGCTCTACCACCAAGCCACAGCCCCATAAGGCTGGTTTTAAGTGAAGCAGAGGTAGTGGTGTCTGCTTTGCCCAGAGTAACAAATAGGTAGACTGTGCCTCTGCCTGTTAGTAACTTGTATCTGCTGCTTGGTACATACTCAGGGAGGAGGGAGTGGCAGGTTGGCAAAGCCTCTGTTGCCTTCCAAGAAGGCACAAGTTGGCTTCTGGGATTCCATTCAACTGGTAGCTCACTGAGAGCAGAGAGTCTGTGTCTCACTCATTTCATGTCCTTCAAGGAATGCGGGCCTTGCATTTAATGAATTCAGTTTTGAAAGACTCATCTTCCATGCTGGGACCAGAAGTCTTTGGATAAGTTTGTTAAATATGGAATTATTCCATGAGAGATTTTGGGATGGGACCCAAGTATAAACACAAAATTCCCAAGTATTTCATGTACATCACACACACACACACACACACACACACACTATATATATATATATATATGTAATATATATATATATATTTTTTTTTTCTGAAACAGAGTCTCACTCTGTAGTCCAGGCTGACCTTGAACTCACAGAGGTCCTCCTGCCTTGGCCTTCCAAGTGCTGGGATTACAGGTGTGTGCCACCATGCTCAGCTCCACACAATAGGTTTAGTATACCTGCAGTAGACTGTGACTACAGTGTGATCAGGGGTAGAGCTTCCCACGTAGCTTCATGTTGGTGTTTGAAGCTTCAGATCTTGTTTTTTTTTTTGCGGAACCAGGGATTGAACTCAGACTCTTGCACTTGCAAGGGAAGCGCTTATCCTACTGAGCCATCTCCTGGGGCCCCCTGAAGTTTCAGATCTTGTAGCATTAGGTTATTTCCTTGGGTTGCTGTAACAGACTGTCAGCCTGGGAACTTCAAATCAACAGAAACCTGTTCTCTCAATTCCCGGAAGTCCAAACCATGCGGGCAACAGAGACTGTTCCTTTTTGGAGGAGCTGAGCCAGTATTCCTTGGCCCACAGATCGACTACCTTGTCTTTGCATCTGTCACCACATCATGGCCTCCTGCATCTCTGTTTCTCTCTTACCCTTTTAAGAACTCCAGCTGTATTGGATTAGGCTCCTCCCTCATCCAGTATAGCCTATTCCAAACTAATCCCATCTGCCATGATTCTAGTTCCAGACAAAGTCACATTCTGAGGTAGCGAAGGTTAGGCTTTTTAAATGCTGTCTCAGGGGATCAATGCAACTCATCACATTAATCAAGGCCCAAGGGGATATGTGTTCCTTGGGAGACTGCCAAAGCCTCCTGAGGCTGAGTTACCTTTCCAGAAAGTGGCAGTATTGAATGCTTGTAATACCAGCACTCTGGGAAGCTGAGGCAGGAGGATCAGCAGCCCCTAACCTGGGCAATTTAGTGAGACAGTGTCTTTGCAAACAAACTATATAAATAATATGTATACATATATATTATACACACA